GCTAACATGAGACACGTTAAAAGTCTTAATAATTGTATAATTAATTAATATAAACTGGTCAAAGATGCTGTTAATAAAGCCTAACTTGTTTTGAACCTGGAATGTTTCTTTGAATACACAAACTCTTTTTCTGGATAGTTTGCGTTCGGTGGACATGAGAAATAACAGTATTAGTGTTCTGCCGGGTCCATCTTTCTGGGTCAGTGCAAACCTGAGAGAGCTGATGTTCAGTCATAATCACATCTCTGCGCTCGACCTGAGCGGCCCGGTGTACAAGTGGGCCAGACTGGAGAAACTTCTTTTAAGCTCCAACAAACTGACTGAGGTATGATTCATAACACGCTCTGATTCAACTGAACACTGCCGTTTTGGTATATTTGTTAGAAATGTGTGTTTGACACTTTTGTGCTTTAGATCCCTCCTCAGATCGGTATGTTGGAGGACCTGACGTCTCTAGATGTTAGTCAGAATGAAGGTTTGCGCTCTTTCCCTGATGAGATGGGAAAGCTGGTTCATTTATGGGATCTACCTCTAGACGGTCTGCAGCTCCAGATGGACCTCAAACACATTGGGAACAAAACCAAAGACATCATCAGGTCTAAATCTAGACATTATTTCTTGCTTGTGTTTTATCTCGTACAGTAAATGCATCAGTTGCCATATCTGTGGTGGTGTTCAGATTTTATTTTATTTTTGGGTCAGTATTGTCAGACAATAATGTTAGATCTTGTTTGTCAAATAATATATTCTTGTATACTTGTTACATGTAAATCTTAGAAATATGATTACATTGTGTTTAGTATTTATCTTTTAGTGCTGTTTTATAATACCAGCTATTACATCAGTTTAAATGTTGTTCTGTTTTCCTAGAAACTTAAGTTTTAAGAAAAGTTAGGGAGGTGCCTTTTAATATGGCCACCTATAATATCTTGTTTCAAATGCAAATATCTTGTCAAGCTATTTCGAGACTTTTCTATTGGTTCAGAATGTGAACGCTGTGGTTCTTACAGGTTCTTGCAGCAGCGTCTGAAGAAAGCTGTCCCATATTACCGCATGAAACTCATTGTGGTCGGCAGCCCGTGTAGCGGGAAAAGTTCTTTGATTCATCAGCTGATGAGACTCAAACGCTCTCAGTGGCGATCTGATCTGCACACCGTCGGCGTCAGCGTCAGAGACTGGGTCATCAAAAACAAAGACAAGAGGAACATGTTGCTGAATGTTTGGGAGTTCTCAGGTAAGCATCTGCACAATGCTAGCATCATATCAAATATGGAAAAATGTCAATAGGAAATAGCAGGTTTTTCTCTTTCTGTTGATGTTGTGCAGGTGGTGAAGAGTGCAGTGGATTTCACCCTCACTTTATGAGCTCCAGGGCGCTCTATCTAGTCCTGTATGACCTGAGTAAAGGACCCAGTGAGATAGACACTATCAAACCCTGGCTCTTTAACGTTAAAGTAAGTTTAACATTTAGCTCCTTCTAGCAAGTAGTATCAAAAGATCTGTTGTACAAATACAAAACCAGACCAAACTGTTATTGTGGAACATTTGGTTTAGATTATAAAAGAGTATGATATATATATATTATACTGTGTTTTTCTCAGGCCGTAGCTGGACAGTCTCCTGTGATTGTGGTTGGAACTCATGCAGATGTGTGTGAAGAGCACCACCTACAGGAGTGTGTTCTGAAGCTGCGAGAGGAGCTGCTGTCTCAACCGGGCTTTCCAGTGGTCAAAGAGAACCACATACTATGCGCCTGTCACGAGTCTGAGTCCATCAGCAGGTTGCGCAAAGCCATCAGTCGGGAGCTCATTGGGTTCAAGGTGATTTACAAAATGTAGTTTTTCTTAGCACTAATTAGCAAATATTATCATTGATTTAAACCAATAAATTGGATTACTTTTATAAAGCCCCATTAAAGTAGTCAATATAAATGTTGGTTATAATTTAAAGGGGTCATATAATGCTGCTAAAAAGAACATTAGTTTGTGTATTTGGTGTAATGAAA